TAAGAGTAAACTTATGGCTATAAATTCTTTTTTTAAAAATATATTTTTACTGATTTTAGAAAGGAAAGGAGAGGGAGGGAGGGAGGGAGGGAGGGAGAGAGAGAAAGCGAGACAAACATCAATGATGTGAGAGAATCATTGATTGGTTGCCTCCTACACTGGTGATTGAGCCTGCAACCCAGGCATATGTCCTGACTGGAACAGAACTGTGACCTTCTGATTCATAAGTCAACACTCAACCACTGAGCCATGCTGGCCAGGCATAAATTCTTAAGAGAGATTTTTTTCCCCCTTCCATTTACCACTTCTATTTGAAAACAGTTTTCCTTGCAGTCCCCTAATTGGGGACAGGGGAAGAGACTAATGTTTCTAGTATATTTTTCTACTGATTATGTGGGCTTTTGAGTCCCAGCTTTGTATCAGGAAGCTTGATTCTGCCAGCCCACCTTAACTAACCCCCATTCAGTGAGAAGTTAAAACTCTTCAAAATTATAAGTACATTTGAAGAAAATTAAATTTTATCAAATGTAGCATTGTTTGGGTGTTCAGATGTCATCGTATATATAAATGTCAAATCACAAGCGACAGTTAATATTTTTAATGAACTAGGACCATTTGATCAAATAATTTGTTGTATCTGTTATAGCAAGGTAGTTGTAATGTGACCTCTCAGTCAAAAAGGTAAATGTAGGCATGTTCAGTGAAAGAGAACATCCTGATATTGCTAAAATAGTGTCTTACTATGTATTTGTTTTAACAAATTACAATATGATAGTATAGAAAATAGCCAGTGTCAGACATTATACCTGGGTTTTCATATAAAGCCCAAGAATTAGTCACATTTCAGTGTTTTTATACATCATTTCTAGAAGAAGCATTCTCACTTTTCAAAATCAAGAATAAGATAAATTATTATATTTTCCCCCATTTGTTGTATCCTAATCCCCCCAAACTTCATATGATTTAATTTATCTTATACAGCTTTCTTGAAATAAAATTTATACACCATACAATTTACCTATTTAAAGTGTAAAAATCAGTTATTCTTAGTATATTCACAAAGTTGTATAGTCATCACTTCAATCAATTTTAAAACATTTCATCACTCTAAAAAGACTGTTAACTGTCACTCTCCATTATCCCTGACTTCCCTAATCCTAGGAAACTACTAATCTACTTTCTGTCTCTGTAGACTTCTGGGCATTTCATATAAATGTAGTTACAGAATATGTAACTACATATTGTGGATGTCTTCTTTCACCTAGTATCATGTTTTCAAGGTTATCCATGTTCAGTAGCATGTATCAGCACTTCGTTTGCTTTATTGCCAAATAATATTCCATTGTGTGGATATACCACATTTTATTTATCCACTCAGGTGTTGACAGACATTTGGCGTGTTTCCACTCTGGCTATTATGAATAATGCTACTATGAACATTTACATACAGGTTTTTGTGTGGACATAACTTTTCATTTCTTTTGGGTATAAACCTAGGAGTAGAATTTCTGGATCACATGGTAATCTTAAACTTCTGAGGAACTGCTACACTGTTTTCCAAAGCAGCTGAACCCTTTACAGTGTATAAAGTTTCCAATTTCTCTACCTTTTTACCAATACTTATCTCTCATTATAGTCATCTTGGTGGGTATGAATTAGTATCTTATTGTGGTTTTGATATACATTTCTCTAATGGATAACAATGTTGAGCATCTTTTCATGTGCTTATTGTTCTTTTGTATACTTTCTTTGGAGAAATGTCTATTGAGATCCTTTGCCTTTATTTTTTTTAATCCAGTTATTTATCTTTTTATTATTGAGTTGTAAGTGTTCCTTATATTTTCTAAATACAAATCTCTTATTAGATATATGGTTTACAAAAATTTTCGCCTGTGGGTTGTCTTTTCACAGTACAGAAGCTTTTAGTTTTGATGATGTCCCCTTTATTTTTTTCTTTTATTGCTTGTGCTTTTGGTGTTATGTCTAAGAACACACTGCCTAATACAGTATCAAAAAGATTTACATCTGTCTTTTCACATAATTTAAAATTTTTAAATAAGATTTTGTAGCAGTGTCAGTAAAGAAATGTTTTTAAGGGGGAAAAAAACACCCATAATCAATCTAGGAGTCATTTATTTTTGAAATGCTGTAATGCCCTTGTCCAATGTATGCATACTTTTATTTTTATTTTTTGCATATTTTTATTATTGCTATTGTTTGTTAAGTACTTTGTTGTGTTCTGATACTTTTGATTTTATATCTCATATTCATAATTCTAATTTTAGGGCTACATAATATAGCCAGTTTATTTTCTAGTTGTGTAATGCAACTTCTTTATATTATATGATATAATATATTTATGATATATTTATTATATGATAAAACTGATTAACACAGACACATAACTTTTTGCTTGTACTGAATTATTTTCTTTTTTAATTAAATCTTTATTGTTCAGATTATTACAGTTGTTCCTCTTTTTTCCCCCCATAACTCCCCTCCACCCGGTTCCCCTCCCACTCTCCGCCCTCACCCCCCCCACACTGTCCTCATCCATAGGTACATGATTTTTGTCCAGTCTCTTCCTGCATCCCCCACACCCCTTTCCCCGCAAAGAATAGTCAGTCCATTCCCTTTCTATGCCCCTGATTCTATTATAATCACCAGTTTATTCTGTTCATCAGATTATTTATTCACTTGATTTTTAGATTCACTTGTTGATAGATGTGTATTTGTTGTTTATAATTTGTATCTTTACCTTTTTCTTCTTCTTCCTCTTCTTAAAGGATACCTTTTAGCATTTCATATAATGCTGGTTTGGTGGTGATGAACTCCTTTAGCTTTTTCTTATCTGTGAAGCTCTTTATCTGACCTTCAATTCTGAATGATAGCTTTGCTGGATAAAGTAATCTTGGGTGTAGGTTCTTGGCATTCATCACTTTGAATATTTCTTTCCACTCCCTTCTGGCCTGCAAAGTTTCTGTTCAGAAATCAGCTGACAGTCGTATGGGTACTCCCTTGTAGGTAATTGACTGTCTTTCTCTTGCTGCTTTTAAGATTCTCTCTTTGTCTTTTGCTCTTGGCATTTTAATTATGATGTGTCTTGGTGTGGTCCCCTGTGGATTCCTTTTGTTTGGGGTTCTCTGTGCTTCCTGGACTTGTAAGTCTGTTTCTTTCATCAGGTAGGGGAAGTTTTCTGTCATTATTTCTTCAAATAGGTTTTCAATATCTTGCTCTCTCTCTTCTTCTGGCACCCCTATAATTTGGATGTTGGTACGCTTGAAGCTGTCCCAGAGGCTCCTTATACTATCTTCGTATTTTTGGATTCTTTTTTCATTTTGCTTTTCGGGTTGGGTGTTTTTTGCTTCTTCGTATTTCAAATCTTTGACTTGATCCTTGCGATCCTCTGGTCTGCTGTTGGGAGTCTGTATAATATTCTTTATTTCAGTCAGTGTATGCTTAATTTCTAGTTGGTCCTTTATCATAACCTCTAGGGTATCACTAGATTTCTTGAGGGTCTCACTACATTTATCGGCAGTCTCACCAGACTTTTTGAGGGTCTCATTAAGTTTATCAGCAGTTTCTAGAAAATTCTTGAAAAACCTTAAAAGTGTGGTTTTGAATTCTATATCCAGTAGTTTGCTTTCCTCCATTTCTGTCATTTGTGTCCTTTTTCTTTGTCTCCGCATTTTTTATGCTTCCCTGTGTTGGTTGAGTGGCTTTGTGTGCTAGGTGTCCTATAGGGTCCAGTGGCTCAGCCTCCCCAATTACCGGAGGTGGACACTCTTGGTGCACCCCCTTGTGGGCTTTGTGCACAGTGTTGTTGTAGTTAAGCCTTGATTGTTGTAGGTAACACTGGGAGGGGTTGATCTCCAGGCCAATTGGCTGTGAGAATCAGCTGTTTCTACAGTGGGAGAATGGATCTCTAAGGAGGTGCTAATCCAGCCTCTGCCTGAGGCTACCCAGCAGAAGCCAGCTGTGAAGGAATGCAAGTTGCCGTGGGGCCTTGGGCCAGCTGCAGTTTGTTAGGTAATTATCAGATTGCAAAAGGCTGGGCCTTTCATATGCAAAAGCCTCCCTGGACAGCTTGGGCTGGGCAGGGTCCCAAGGGATCAACAGGGCGGAGCAAGCAGTTATGGCTGCTCTCAGTCCTGCCCTCAGAGGCCCCACTTCTCAGTGTCCAGGCAATGCTGGGAGCACCTCTGAGAGAAAGCTGTCCTCGAGTTCCCACTGATGCCAGACAGTCCTGTTTCTCCCGTATGTGTCTGGGTCCCCAGGGACTCGCCCGGAACTGGAGCTCAGAGCCTGAGACTCCCTCCCGATTGAAAAAGACAACCGTGTCCTCAGCCACCAGCCCTCTCCGCATGCACCTCCGCACCTTTGTATTTTACTTCAGCACTGCGCCTCCTCTGAGTCTCGGTATGCTGTTCTCTTTCCTTCTAGTTGTAGAATTTCCACTCAGCCAGCCTTCCTGTGGTTCTGGATGATGTCCATTCCATCTTTTTGTTGTATTTTTGAAGTGGTTGTGCGAGGCAGCTATCTCCGGTGTTTACCTATGCCGCCATTTTGGTTTCTCCCTGAATTATTTTCTTAATACAACTTTTTAGAAATGGAATTATAGGCTCAAAGGATGTAAACATCTTTACAGCTCCTATATGATGTCACATTACTTCTAGAAAGCACTAAAATTCTTTTGTTTAGAAGACATGCTTTAATTTTTTTCCCATTTATTTTAAAGTTGATGCACATTATAAGAGTTTTACTTTGAGTGGCAATATTGTCAGTGATAATCCTCTATCAAGAAAACTCATGATCAAGTTAAATGTGTATTTCTTCATCTGAAAAAAAAAATGATACAGGCAATGGAACACTTTGTACCGATACTGTAAACTGGACCAGCCAGTTGCCTTGTTGACTGAAGATAAATATGACAAAATTTGTTATTTTATGGCATCTTCTACTTTAAGCAATAATAGTATATTTTGTTAAATTTCCTTTAGGCTTCGGGAGCAGGAGAGAAAAGAAGCAGAAGAAGCTAGTCAAAAGGAAATAGAAGAATGGGAGAGAAGACTTCTAGCTCAAGCAGCTCCAACTTGTATGGAGACCATGTGGGAAATTCCAGCTATTGGGCATTTCCTTTGCTTAGCCCAGCAAATTCTAAACTTGCCAGAAATAGTCTTCTACGAATTGGAACGTTGTCTTTTGATGCCTCAGTGTAATGCTTTTTTATCTAAAATAATGACTTCTCTATTAAGTCCTCCTCATCGCAGACCTACCTTACATCGAAGACCTACTTTGCCTTATAGGACCTGGGAGGCAGCACTGAGACAGAAAGTGCACCAGTGGTACACTGCTGTAGGGCAGACTGAAAATCCCAATAACTGTGCTGAGAAACTTGGGTTGTGTCCTCAGTTTTTTAAAGTTCTTGGAGAAGTTAATCCATTGGAAGAAAAACCTTTTCATGAACTACCTTTCCACCAAAAAGTGTGGTTACTTAAGGGTCTTTGTGACTTTGTGTATGAAACACAAAAAGAAGTTCAAGATGCTGTACTTGGACAGCCTATTCATGAATGCAGGGAGGTTATACTTGGTTATGATTATTTGGAGAATGCTTATGTACATTTCCCACAGTTCTGTGGTGCAGATGTACGGATTTACAAGCAGAGACCTTTTCAGGCCCCAGAATTTCCAATTCCACCCATTAAAATACAAAGAGTACCTCGGATTAAACTGGAGAAATTGAAGTGTGACTATTTTAGTACAAGTAATGGAGAACATAGGTGTGGTAGAGAAGGCCTGCCCTCTGCCTTCAAAAAAGAGAAAGAAATTAATTTGGATCCAACTTGCTGCCATGCTAAAATGAACTTGGATAATCATGACATCTCTGTTGAAATGGAAGTGAAATCCAACTGTGAAATTAGAATTCGCAGACCCTGCGAAATTAAGAAAACTGATTGCTGTAAAGAAAATTTAGAGAAACCAGGAAGTCCAGGTGAAGTTACTGGCTTTGGAGAGCCTCTTAGTCCAGGTGAAATAAGGTTTATAGAAAATCACGAAAGATATGGTGAAGCTTCTAGAGTAAAGCCTGAACCCAGTCCATTAAAAGAAAATGCTCTGAAATCTTGCCAAATACATGTAAATGGAAGTCATAATGATCACGCAGAAATTAGCTGCCCCAAAGTTGTAAGGGATATTTTATTAGAGCAGTCATTGCAGAGCCACAAGAAACTCAAGCTAACTAAAATGAGGGCAAAAAAGAAGAAAAAGAAAAAAAAGAAATTAAAAGATGCTTTGAATGAAAACTTACAGAGAAAGCGTGAAGGTCTTCATTCTCTTACATTTAAGTCTTACAAACCTGAGATCCAGAATAAGTTATTGATCATCAAAAAGAAGGCAAAACACAAGAAGCACAAATCTGGTAAGCTAACACAAATCAGTGAGAATTACATTTATGCATAGTTCAAGTTCTTTCAATTAGGCATCTTAACAATGAAATGAACACGTATGTATGCGTGTTTGCATGCATATGTAAGGGTCAAGTTTTATATTATTCCCCATGATTAAAACCCAGAGCAGAAGAGGTTTTATTATTAACAACAACAACAAAATACTGGTGCAATACATTTGAATTTAATTTTCATCTGACAGTCTTTGGACATTATGTGTTTACATTTCTTTGGACCAATTTCTCCTTAAGTGATACTTTCCATCACTGATGAGAAGTGTTTATTTTCCTTGGGTAAGGGTAGTTACAATGCAGTGGAAAAAGCACTGATATCAGGGGATTGCATTCCCAGGACTAAAGTTCATAGCAACTAGCTTCTTAAACCAAGGCAGGCCAGATTATCTTTCTGGGTCTCAGTTTTTCCCCACATCATATATTTTTCAGCACTGTTTTCAGTTTGTATTTGCATATCCAGAAAAATGTTGTGAAATATAAGGAAAGAGCTATATCAACTAATAAGACAGGAATCATTTTTATAACAGAATTTGTAAGTGTGTCTTATACCTAATATAAATAATGTATTTGTCACAAGCCTATTTAAAAATTAAAGCAAAAAAATCTGATAACTATACAGGGTGTTCCCCCCAAAATGTGTATGCACTTTGAATGATTATAAAGTCGGTGTTTATTAACATATAGTTCATTTTCAAAATCTAAAAGAGTCTACAGAAATGAATAATTTTTTTTGTCAATGCCTGTTTTTGAACTGATGACAATTCTGGTCCAGGCACTGGTGATAACACAAAGCCATGGAATCTCAAACATCAAGAATCCTTTCTTTGGTATTTGTGTGCCCTCAATTCATTGACTGTTTTATACTGTAAACTTTATTTTTTATGTATCCCCAAAACAAAAAGTCTAGTGGCACTTTAGGATAAATTTTCTTTGTTCAAAGCTTAGTCTGGCTTCACCCATTTCAAATCAGTTAAACCTGAAAAGAAGTGAAAACTAAGTGTGTTATTAGCTGTTAAAGTGTGTATGCATACCTTATAGTATTCAGTGGTTGATTGCTCTGTTTTTTAATTGCTTTTGCTTTTCCTAATCTTTGCCATTTAATCAGCTTAAATGTCTCATTTATTGAGAGGATAGGTGAGATAAAAGCAGATGATTAATTTCATTTATTAATCCTAATAAAAAGTTGCCCGATTGGGAAAACCTTGAATTGTTTACTAAAATAAATTGTGGTTTATTGTCTTTATTTGCGGATCTCAGTTTTTTTCATTCCCTCAGTTACAAAGATAATTAAGATTTGGCGATAATTTGATAATGAATTGGCAAATGAGGGAATGAATTTAGTTTAACTGCTATAGTAGGTGTTATACCATAGTTATTTAAATCATTAAATATAATTAAATGTATTTTTAAATGTATATGTAATGTATCATTGATAAAGAAGTAGTATAAAATTTACTATCAAGAACAGGTTTAATTTGTTGAACTGAAAATTGCAAAGTGGTCCACATTGAGCCAAGCAATGAAAAACTACAATATTTTAAAGTAACTTTCAGAAATAAACCTTTTAAATTTTACAAGCAATCCATTAGGCTATCTAAATTAAGTTTGACTTGAGCTCTCTGAAATGTTGGCCTCTGAAATATTAAATATTTTAAAATTTGAAAATGTTTCCAGTTCTAAAATATGTAATACTGTTTTATTAATATCATTATTTCCTAAAACCTTTTATTAAGTTTTTATTTATGACCTACTATTCATGTATTCAAAGTTAATTATGAATTAAAGTGGTTTAGAAAATAACATAGTTATTAATGTAGCAGAATAAAAATATTAGTTGATGAGGATTATTATAAAATGAATTTGTATTGTAAGCAAATGAAGTGTTACATTTTTGAAATATAAGTTCAGAATGTAGATCAGAGAGAACATTTGAGAACTTCATGTCCAGTTCTAGACAAGTGAATGAAAAAAAGTCAGAAGCAAATTCAGCTAGTACTTGTGTATCCTCTGTGTGCCTTTTTAATTAAGGAGAGAAGTCTTACAGGTATGAAATAGGAGAAAATAATGCACTTGCCTATATACTTTTTCGTTTTTATGTTTAGAGCAAATTTTAGAGAGTCAAGTCTTCAGTAACAAAAATACTTGGATTTGGCAAATACCATTCTGTTGTTAGCACTGGGTAAGCATAGACCAGCTCTCTTTCATCATCAGTCACTAAGCTTCTTACTGTTTTACGTTGTTACATAAAATGTTATACTAACAACAAAAATTTATTGTACATCATTTTGCCCTGGGCTTCTTTAATAGGTATGAGCTATTGTGTGGCCTTTTATAGTTAGTTTTGGGCATACTCTAATCCAGTATTTCCTTTCTCTTTTTAAGAGTGAGCTCCATGGTCCCAAGTTTGGGAGCTGTTCCTCATATAGAGTCACATTATACATTAGTACAGGTCCACAATGCATTTTATGAAACTCTTGTACCATTTATGTTTTGGGGTTCAGAAATCTTCAGATTTTAGAAGGGTGTTAATGATGTATATAGTATTTTCGAAGGAACATCCTCAGTAGAGTTTGGAGCAGCCCTGTAATCAAATACATAATTTCTACAGAAAAGAAAAATGTATGAATAATCAGGCTAAATGAGATGAAGACTATAAAGAATCTCTTAACAGTTCAGGTCAGATTTTGCTACCATATAAGTTATTTTTTTAATTAACTTTATTTTTCAGAATCTTTTAGACTTTAGAATTGTGAATAATTGATTCTGTGCCTGTATATTAAGGCCACTGCAAGGTCTTGAAGAAAATAAAATTGTTTCGTTTTTTTTAACTTAGTATTTTTCAAGTTTATTTGAACACAGGGCTTTTTTTTCTTTTTCCAAATAATAGTATTGTGTAGAATATGCTTTGGGATAAGCTGTGTCATCCATGACTGATTTATTAACCTTAATTTAGGGTAGACTAAATTCTACATGTGGTTAACCTGGTTCCTTTTATGTTTTAATTTTTGGTTCCATCGACAAATTTAGTAAGCCTTCCTATTGTGATGGCAGATGGTTTTTAATAGAAGGCACAAAGGCAGATTGGTTTAAAATGATTTGATAATTTTAATGCACTATAAGAGAATTTTGTAACATTAAGCATTTTTATCTATTTTTCAGAATGAGAGTGTTCTTTCTGCCTTTTAAAATTTTGAATTCATTCATTTAGTTTAAGCCTGTTCCTTACTCTTGGAAACATTATAGAATAGAAAAACATTGGAATTTTCCTTAATGTGCATAATTATAGCATCAGATACTTCTCCTTCAGAATACTTATTAAATCTGTTCATAACAATTATATTTTTTCTAGGTTATTTTGGTTATTATCTACACTCTGTTCTATAACATTCTTTTTTAGCCTTGATTAAAATTAAGGATTAAAATTATTAAACTGTCAGGAAGTTTAATAATTTTCATAGCAGTAAATCTGAAAAGAATCGTAAATTGTCAGTGAAAGTGCTTTTGAGAAGGTAAGCATTGCTTTACATAGATTAGGAAGATTAAAAAATATTTATATACCAGTCAAAAAAATGAGGTCAAACTTTTTTTTGTAACTTATTTTTAATGTATCTTGTCATCGAGTTGATTTTAAGGCTAAGTCCGTTTTCTGAAAAGGCAGAGTTTCCTATAAAAGTTAAAAGTTTATTTAATGTAAACCTTGGAAAGACCATTGACAAGTAACTTTGAGACCATTAGTTTGTGTTAGAATGCACTACATTTATTTGTTAGAGTATTTATTATAGAGAGCAGAGTTTAATCACTTAAGTTGTAAACTGTATTTGCCACTGGAGATTAGGTTTATTGCCAACCTTGGGATTATTGATTCTTTGTTTATGACCTTTTTTTTTTATTTCAAGAAAAACGATTTTAAATATAATAATATTACATGCAATAAACACCAATTATTGAAGAAAAATGATCTTATATGTAATAATATTTCAAGCAATAAACATTAATATTTCAAGAATCAAAGGATTTTAAATATAATAATATTACCAAAACCTGTACTAACAGTATAATATCACAAAAGTTGTAGGAAATATTAAAAATCTGCAAATAACAGTATTACTTTTATTATATTCTAGTATATTCCCCCTCCTTGGCTCTATTTTTGTTCATCAATTTATGTTGTTCATTATATTCCACAAATGAGTGAGATCATATATTTATCTTTCTCCGACTGGGTTATTTCACTTCGCATGATGCTTTTAAAGTCTATTTTGTTGGGTATGAGTATTGCTACTCCAGCTTTTTTTACTTTTCCATTTGCATGGAACATTTTTTTCCATCCCTTCACTTTCATCCTGAGTGTGTCTTTTGCTTTGATGTGTGTCTCTTGTGGATAGCATATAGTTGAGTCATGTTTTTTTATCCATTCAGCTACCCTACACCTTTTGATTGGAGCATTTAATCCATTTACATTTAGGGTTATTATTCAGAGGTACTTAGTTATAGCCATTTTAAATCTGTATGGCTAGGTTTCTCTCTCTGTTTCTTCTCAACAATCCCGTAAAGCAATCCCTTTAGCATTTCTTATAATGCTGGTTTGGTGGTGATGAACTCCTTTAGCCTTTTTTTTTTTTGTCTGGGAAGCTCTTTATTTGACCATATATTTTGAATGATAGTCTTGCTGGATACAGTAATCTTGGTCTCAGATCCTTGCTTTTCATTACCTTGAGTACTTCATGCCATTCCCTTCTGGCCTGTAGAGTTTCTGATGAGAAATCAGGAGTCAGCTTTATGGGAACTCCTTTGTAGGTAACAGTTTTCTTTTCTTTTGCTGCCTTTAAGATTCTCCTTTTGTATTTAATTTTTGGCATTTTAATTATGATGTGTGGGTCTGTTTAAGTTCTTATTTGGAGTTCTCTGTGCCTCATGAACTTGTGTGACTTTTCCCTTTACCAGGTTAGGGAAGTTTT